TTAGACTGATTCACAAAAATAACATTTAAGTATGTCAAGATCCATAAAAATGGCCTACTATCTCGGGGTTTTTTCCCCAAAAATTCCCACTTTTTTCTGTTATGGTTTCTTTAATGGTTTTATTAAGAGTTGATAGTATATTTTGCACTAAACTATGAATGATTTTCGGGAACGGATCAAGTCAGTAACTTTATGGTGAGTAATCATGAGTAATCCGTTCACATCAGCATGATATCAGCATCCCTCTCTCTCCGGGAAAGCCTTTAATTTTCCCCTCCTTAATCTTTGACGGACGATTTCTCACTCGTTTTAAGTCGAAATTAATTTTTTTGCACAGTTAGATCAGATTAATTGTGCTTTTCAAAATGATATCCACTTTGATATATTTTTCGAACAAAAAATTTGAGCCATTTTTTACTAGTCTATACCATATGGCATTGACTGGTATTGAAATAAGAGCACACCTATGGTTTGAAAAGCGTAGCATGGTGGTATGAACAAACCAAGACTGTAGGATGGTTGAATACATGATAGTAGAAGTATATTAACTGTCATTTACGACTTTCAACATTGTGTACCACAAGATACCACCCCGTACCAAGGTGGTATTGTATGGTATTGTGTGGTATTTTATGGTCCTATAATTTGTTCACCTAGAAATTTGTAGATCCAATAAATCATGATGAACTCGTCCATTCTGTGCAAACGTTTTCAAAAACGAATTAAAAACGAAGAAGATACCATATGGTATGCAGTTGGTACCGAGAGACCAGAATTTTTTTTTCCAAAAAATGTTGAAAATTGATCTCATTTTGTAGAGCACGATGAACTCGTTCCATCTATGCAAAAAATATTAAAATCCGAGTTAAAACGAAAAAAATATGAGCCGATTAAAAAAGTTAGGGAAAATAAAAATGGTCTTTAATTCTCCATCCTTAGATATGGATTTTCTAAATGAAGGATCGAGATTTAATTATTGATGGGTGCATCCTATCTTGACCCAGGATTTCCTATCATCACCTATATTATTTTTTTCCTAATATATTCTTTCAAATATAAACATTTTCTTCTTGTGCCTCTTGTTTTTAAGATATTGTTCAACGGGGACTCAACTACTCAATGAGCAAGGTAATTAGGCGCTAATTCTAGGAATGACAATGGGTAGGCCGGGTTCAGGTTGGGTAATTTATCACGGACCGCGGGTTGGGGTAGGTCGACTCATAGAATATGCAATTTATATGAAAAATATTAGAAATATTCGTTATTTTTACTATAAAACCAAGAAAACAAACAATATTATGATAAATGTTGTTAAATTATTAGAGAAATTGAAGTTTTCACTTATTTACAACTTTATTATAGCTAAATTATGATGTTATAAAAGAAAATTTCTAAGTAATTTGACTAAGATTACATGTAATTTAGGCAAGAACGGGTGGAGAATGGGGCAGGTCACGACATGTCTGGTCGATGAGTATACCCATGCCCGCCCAAAACAGGCCAAACAGATAAGGTAAAACGGGTCAGGTCTAAATTGTCATTCCTAACTAATTCCGTCCAAAAATCATGTAATTACAAAGTTAACCTTGTTATTTTAATTCTTTTCAGTTTCGATAAAAGATAGGGCAATTTGTCTATTTTGATTGGAAATTGTTGGGTGAAACTCAAGGATGGGGAGGAGATTAAAAATAAAGAGGAATTGTTGTAAAACATGAAGGGGTACGCTTTTTCACCCCAAGACCCTATACACTGTTTCAATTCTTGGCGTATAGCGCCCAAGTAGGGGAGAAGCTCCTCCAACACAATCTCTTCCCTCGCAGCCGTACTCCTATACCTATCGCCGTTCACCTCGGCACTCAATCCAGCAGCCGCAAGTCGCCATCCATACTCCACAGTCAGCGCTACTGTGGACGTACCTTGCCTACGCTACGCTCAACTTCCCCCGAAACCTCTCGCCGTTCACCTCAACCTAGCCTTCAATCCAGCAACCGCAAGTCACCGCCCATACTCCACAGTCAGCGCTACTGTGGCCGTACCTTGCCTGCGCTCAGTTTCCCCCGAAATCAAGCATTCACCGGTCATGTCTATCTCTTCGCCGTTCCATTCTGCTATCCCCAATTTTCCCATTCCCTTAACCCCTGCCCACTGGCTCGCTCACGCAACCGCCCATAATTTCTGCGCCGCTTGCTTTCCTTCACTCTGTGCAGAGAAAATTGATTGCTTTATCCTCGCCCAAATCGTCCTCTTCGGTTCCACCTCTCATTCTATTCTTTTGCTTCCTCTTTCTCCCCGTCACCGCCACAGCTGACCGGCAAACCCGCTCAGCCGCTGTTGCCTCTACTTGCCGCCATGAATCATATCGTCCTCTCGAAGCTAGCATGCCCGAGGCGAAGGTCCTGCTCTCAAATTGCGCCTCCTCCGGACATGGATGGCTGGGAACCCTTCCGGCCCGACGGGTTCTCTGAATACGCGAAACTTTGGATGGACGAATTGGTGAGTTCTCTCCACTTTTGGTTTCTGCTTGTCGCGCATGTGCTTGCTCTTCCTGATTCTGCCCTTCCCTCTTCTTCTGCCAGGGGGTGCTGGTACAGGGGCTTGCCTCCAAGCATCTGTCGGATCAATTGAAAGAGGTTCTTTCTATTGGGAAGATTTGCTTCGTCACACAGTTCTCCCAACGCGAGGCAAAAAAACGCGGAGGCAGGAGATAGAGGTGTTGAGATCACCGAGATTTTGCCGCAGTGTGACGATGTGGTGAAAGGGTGATTGGATTGACTCACTACAACAACAACGGTTTGTTAAGGTAGGTTGTTCATGAGTTACATAGTTTTGTGAAAGTGAAAAACTTTAATGATTTACTACTTACCATCATCGGTTAGTTCTTTCGTATTCAAGGGACGGATGAGATACACAAGTGAGGGACGCCAGGAAGAAGGTGAAGACTTCATACTAGAAAAGAACAAACCAAGAAAAAACCGAAGGAGAAGAAATCCATGAAAGAATTTGCGGATCTGAAATGGGAAGTTACAAAGTAGGAAGGAACTTTTAAATCGCTTAGGTCTTCTTCCATATGTACATTTGCTGGATTATTTATTGAACTTGGTCACTCTTTCATCGAGTTTTTTCCTTCTTTCAGGCGCCAATAACACAGTCGACCTGTCTTAGGTGTTGTTGCAGGTTATTGCGCAAGCAAATTGCAGATTTTTTGACAGTTCTCAAGTTTGTTTATTTTTATGTACTCTCAATGAAGGAGGAGACTTGCTGCAACAGCTTAGCAGCAGAAGTAGAAAAATCAGGACTGAGTGACTTATAGTGAGAGAGGGAAAATGAATGATGGGAGGAGGAAGATGTGAAGCAGAAGACTTGGTAGAGGAGGAGAAAGAGTCGCACACAACAACCAACATTTCATTGCCTACTCGCTTGAGCTTCAAAGTTCTGGTACTTCGCCCTCTCATCACTGCTGCTGTTGTTTCTCCATAATGAATGAACTGAAATGCATTAGAGGAAGGAAAAAAATAGCTTTGGCAGTCTTGGGTATTGGAACTCAAAGTTGGGATGGAGTTATGGTGTGGGTATATTATAGAATAAGGAGGAATCAACTTGAGGTGTTCGTTTGATATGTACGAACGAGAAAAACACACAGACAAACAGACGATTGCACGCCTTCTCTGCCTGCAGCTATTTGTTTTGTTCAAATAAAGTGTCTGGCGAAATAAAGAAACCTTACAAAGAAAAGAAAACGCTAGGTGCATTTTGTGATTAGTTAATCTCCTGAAATTTGTTGCAATTTTTCTCTTTTGGTTCGTTTTTCTCCAGCCTTGGTAGGTTTTGGTGAGCTAGGGAATAAGTGAGGGTCAAGAAAGAACACATAGAAGGATGACCCATCCACGACGGACAGACATGAACCCTGCTGATACTTGCATTGTTCCTTTTCTTTGCCCCCTGCTTTCGATTGCTTCGTTTTCTCAATTATTTCTTTAGCTCTATATTGTTACCATTCTCAATACATTAAGGTATCTATGCTAGCAGATAATGGATACTGTCAAGTGCATTAGGTCACATCCAAGACTAAACTAACTCGAGTCTTTGGCTCTACCTTTTTGCTCTGGTGGTTCATTGTTTACTATGGATTCAACTCATTGATGGACATGATTCATTATTTTCTATTACAGAAGGACATACATTTTCTCTGTTCCATCGACTGAAAAACTTGGATGTGATGGAGCAATTACAGAACTCTACTTGACTGGAAATTTGCTTTAGATTGTGGTGGACGGTGGCAGTGGCTAGGGTATTGTGGGTTTGACAACGGTGGTGGGTCTGCAGTTAGACCATCTTCTGGGAACAACAGGTAATTACTGTAGTTCTTGGCTGCACTTCATCCCCAACTATATTTTCCTCTCATCCCCAACTGGGAGCTTCTCATTGTTGTCTCATTAGTAATAGCCTCAAATTTGTTTATACAGGCCAACACATGTGCATAAAGCACCTACTTGACAACTGCAACGTGATAGAAATGCTGGATGAGGTGTGCACAGACCAAGGAAAGGAGTTGAAAGAAATGGCGGTGAGATACTCGGTTTGAAGCCTCAAATTTGCCAAGGTAGAAGGTCAAAGGCAGCAATTGGTCTTGATTGTGTGTAGTAAATATGGGTGATTACTTAACATAGAAGTCTAATGCATAATAGACTAGCTTTATACGAGTTTTATGATACCTGTTTTGATGGAATTAATGTTTCATAAATAAAAGAGAATTGAATCATCTTGCTTAATTGGAATGTATAAATATTAAATAGTCCCCGCGGCGTAGCCGTGGGTGATGATTCTAGTATTTTTATAACTATGAAGACTTTTTAGGCACAAGACCCCTGTCTCAATGCTTAAGTAGGTCACTCCACCCAACAAGCTACAAATTTTGAAACAAAAGTACTAAGAACTGACTTTGAATAAGAGTCAGTAGATAAATGAAAAAAATCTATACTTTGAGAAAATAAATTGTTCAGTGGCTAATTAATTTGAAATAATTCATACTCTGGATAAGATTAGTAGTTGGAATCCTTCAGTAACTAACAGTTGCCCACTCTGTAACAATGCAACAGAGTTAAGAGATAATCTCTTCTTTATCTGCTCTTGTTCAAAGAGATCTATCTTCTAGATGACCTATACTACAGCAAATAGTGGGAGGGAATAATCTTACAAGATACATTGCATTGCCATTTCATTGTCATACTCGAAAGACGACGAGATACATGAAGATTAAAGCCGATTGCATTGGAGGTTCAACCTCATCACACAATGATCAATGTTGATCCATCCAGCAATCTGGGCTGCAAAGCTAAAAAACTACTTCGAAAAGTACCAAGTGCTGGATTCAAAATCCACTTCATTGCGTTGTGGGTCTTCGATATCTTCCTTGACCCTTTCTGCACAAGGCATACAGGAGAAGCCACACAGACTATGGAGCTGTATTAGATGCTACCCAGAGAAGTTCATGCACATAAAGCGACTCTCTGGTCATAAGTCATAACCGTAGTATGAAGCCCCGGAGGCAGCAAGCAGAACACAGCATGATTCATGCCTTACATATCTAGCAATTGTTCATTCTTCACTCAATTTAGATCTAACTGCTTAGACTGACGGCGGCTCCATGACGCAAATGTAAAGTTTCGGGACACCAGGTAGAGTATGAATGATACATATCCAACTGTGAATGCGCAGACCACTACTGCAACTGTCAATCCATCTACCACGTTCATGAAGAAGTCCAACAGTAGGTAGCCATTGATCAATATAACCAATACAGCCACAATCCATGAAATTGTCTGCAAAAGAAAAGATTTTTGTTGTTTGAGTTAAGGGGACAAATTAGGGAACTCTAGTAAACGCAGTAGAATCTCGTTTAGTGCAGTCTAGAATGGATGTAGGTGCAGTAAAAGAAACGTGTACAATAGCAAGAAGATAAGCACAACACATTAACATAGTTCATGTAAGAGGAGGGTCCATTCTCTATGTGGGGTGATTGTTTGAGAAGGATGAAAGTGCTGAGGAGAAAAATGATATTAAGTTTCAATCAAACAACTGACTTCTCTAGCGCATTGGAGTCGCAAAGAAGACAAGATTGGCAATGATCACAATAGGGTATTGAAAACAGCAGCACTTTGATCACACCCTCATTTCAATGGCTATAAAGAGAGATAGATTGCAGAAAGCAAAGAAAAAGGGCAGGAGAAGAAGTATACCTTAAGAACGGGACCAATCCGAAAAGTGCCCATGATCTCTTCCTTGGCGACCAAGCATAAAAGGGGTATAAGTGCAAAAGGGATCTGAACTGACTGAAGGACATTCAGCCACTCATTCAATTTATCCAGGGAGTCCTCAGAGGAATCAAAGATGAGTGCAACAATTATAGTTGGGATGATGGCACAGCTCCGTGTGATCATGGCCCTAACCCATTTCTTCAATCTCAAGTTCAGGAAACCTCCCATTATAAACTGGCCGGCATAAGTGCCAGTAATGGTGCTACTCTGGCCCGCTGCCAGCAATCCAATAGCCCATATGTACAGAATCGGAAAGATGCCACCCCCATATTTATCTTGAAGAAGCTGCCCTGCATTTACAAGGCCAATGCTATTGGCTACTTCAGTGCCATAGAACGCCTTTGCAAACACAGTGGTGACGCATAAATTGATGAAAAACGATACAGCTAGTGCAGCAGTGGACTCGATTCCATAGTATCGAAGAGCTTCGTCGACACGACCCTTCTTGCTTCGATCGACATCCCTTGATTGTACTAGAGCAGAGTGTAAGAACACATTGTGGGGCATGATGATGCAGCCCACAACTCCAACGGCTTGTTTTATGGTTTTTGAGCTGAGTTTCGGAATCAAGATGCCTGCAGATTTCAGGTACACACTCAAGTTTTAACATGACCAGCCATGGTAAAGAAAAAGAGAAGCCCTTGATGGAATAGGAAACAGAATCACAACTCACCCAGAAGAAGTTCCGTTCCATTCGGTTTCGTGTCACCAAACATCCAAGCAAAAGAAATTGCCATTACAGCGATTAGAACAGCAAAGAACGCTTCCAATTTCCTCACACCATAGTTCTCGAGAAACAGGAACACGAAACTGCACTAACGCCAAATCCTCCATCAGCAAAAAATTTTGAAAGTCGGAAAAGACAGCCAAAACATCTATGAACCAAAATTCAAAACCCAGAACAGAAAAGTGAACCCAATTGGAAAAATGGAAGATGATTAGAAAGTTACCAATCAAGAGCGGTGATGACAACGCCAGCCCACAAGGGCAAATACCCATTACTCAGAATCTTAATCGCAATAGCACTCCCAATAACCTCCTGAATATCAGCTCCGATGAGAGCCAGCTCAGCCATAATCCAGAGCAGCATCCGGGCCCAAGTCGGGTACTCCGACCGGCAGAGCTCGGCCAAATGCCTGCCGGTCGCCACGCCGAGACGAGCCGAGAGCATCTGAATGAGAAGCCCAACCGCGGTTGCCCACATCAGCAGCCAGAGCAAGGAGTAGCCAGCAATCGCACCGGACTGAAGATCGCCTTCCAAATTCCCCGGATCAAGAAAAGCTATGGACATCAGGAACCCAGGCCCAGTGAAGAGCCAGAGCTTCCTCCACGAGAAGGGTGGCGCGAAATCGGACGCGTCGGAGTCGGAATCAACCCCGACTATGTGGATTCTCTCGGAGGATTCGTACGCCGTTTCTTCCCGCTCGTCCGGCCCCTCGCCGGCGAGTAGGGGCTGCCGGTGATCCTGCGGCGGGGGAGCCATGGCGGACACTTTCCTCAAATAGAAGCTCGGAGTAGCGGGTGAGTGAAGTAGGAAGGAAAGGGAGTGTAAATTCAGTAATTTGGAGTGGAGGATGGTTTCACCTTTTCAGCTTTCTATCCTCGGGCGAACGGCGAACGACGAATGGTGGTGGTGGGGCGTGGTATATAAGCAGTCTTATCGGCTGCTTGTTTGTTAGTCGTAGATGAGAAAAGGACGAGAAGAAGATAGAAGAAAGACAGAGGAGCTATGGGAAATTGAAAGAGACAGAGATGTTCGATCTATTTATCCATCATCAGCCAGTGGCTGCGCCAGTATATATCTATCAATGTTCAGTGTTCTAATTTTTTCCTAATCCCCCGCCGGCTCTTTCCTCTTTCCACTTAGTATGATTTAGAACGAGTATCAACCAAACAACTGCAATTTACATTTAAACCAGAAACCATTCATTGAGGAATTTAGGGTAGTTTGCTTCAAAGATTTGGATGTGGGATTTGGTTCTCAAATCCATCACATGAATGATTTGTCCAAAAGTCATTGTTTGTTGAGCCAAAATGGAGGGTTGCTTGTTGGATTTGAAAAATGAGAGTTTTGGCCAACAAAAACCTTGGGATTTATGTTGGATTTATTGGATTATGGATTTGAAGAGTCTAATGTTTGCATGATAGATTTGATGATGGGTTTGTGATGGATTTGTTAAATAAATAACTAACCATCAAGGATTTGCAAATCCTAAATCAATATGTGGGATTTACAAGTCTGTGGGGTCCACGGATTTGGTTCCAAAATAAAGACCAAATCCGTGTACCCCACGAATTTAGCACCCTTCAACAAACAATGAACTTATGTTAAATCCATCAAGCTTGGGATTTGGGTACCAAATCCATGACCCAAATCCAACAAGCAATCGACCCCCAAATCCGTGGGGTCCACTGATATGGAGCTCCAAATCCGTGGGCCCCACGGATTTGTAAATCTCAAATCATACACTGGGATTTGGAGACAAGCTGAAAAACCATCAAATCCATGATAAAAATAGCTCAACAAACAAAAGATTTCCTCAAATCCATAATAGCCAAAATCCCTAATAAATCCCAAGATTTTTTTATTAGCAAATCCATGACAAAATCCTCGTTATAAAATCCTTGAAGCAAACGATTAATTAAAATGGAAAGTCTAAACAACGGCCACCACACCACATTTGTTTTTTTTTTTTTTTTGTATTCTTTCTCGTTGATGGAAAGTGGAAACCAAATCGCGAAGTTCTGGACTTTTACGAGTGTGAAACAGATCACAGAAAAACGATTCTAAAAGCCAACGATTAAATTACGTGGACGGGAAAGACGATAGCGACGGACGTGGCGTGCCACATGCGCAGTTTCTGGTGACGAGGACGGAGGAGGAGAAGTGAAGTTTCTGGGAGGAACGAGCCGGCTTCGTTATTACCGTGCTTGGCACATGCGGCCCACGGGCGGGTGTGTGGTCCACTGGGCTAACACCGGCGGTGTGGGCTCTCTAATATATATTTAATTAACGGATCATCCTGCCAACAGCTAGCCCACCACGAGTGGGACGACGGCACAGAGTTCGCCGCATGGGAATTTTTCATAAAATACTAAAAAAAACAATAGCATAAATATCGTTAAATTATTTAAGAAATTGAGATTATCACCTATTTATAACTTCATTATAGCTAAACTATGAGGCAAAAACAAATCGAGAAGCGTATGCATGTCCCATCCCCTGTACCCACCCAAAATAGGCCAAACACATGGGATAAACCGATCAGGTCAAAATCACCATCCTACAAGTGATCACGACCAAACAAATCAAATCAAATGAATCAAATCAAAATTGTCATCCTTACCCGTTACCACGTCCCTGTGCCTTCGGCCGGGCCTAAATATTTCATAAATGGTGGGGCATTTGTAATTAGTGAGGCAGAAGAGAATGGTGGTTAGAAAATTGTATGGCGTGACAATATGTACCAACCCCAATATACGGTTGACGGACTGATGACGTCACATTACTAATTGGAAGAGCTTACTGTACTGACACCACACCGAAGTTAGGGCCCGAGCTTTCAGAATACAAGCGATCGAGTTCTCTACAAAAACATATACCTCATCCAATGATTAAAATATCAATAACAAGAAGAGAAAACCAGTATAAAATGAGCGGCAATTTTGTATTCAATCCACGATTTCATTTAAATCTATTCATTTAAATATCATTGAAAATTTATATTTTTTTGTAATTAAAGTTTTTTTATTATGACAATTTATTGCCTAGAATTTTCAAAATTTACATATTGGTCCAATATTTGGATGCCACTTGGACCCATAATCAAATTCTAATCCACCAATCTATGAATATAAGATTTTATTTAATCAATCCATTTGATTCATGAATCTACCAATCCAATACACCAATCCATGAATCCAATTGCCATCTCTATATCTAACAAACTAGTAAGGATAATATCATGTTTTGGCTCGAAGGTTGACATAAAAGATAATTTTGGCATGAACTTTCGAATGAACTTTCGAATAATACAGTTATGGCCAACTTTTAAAGTATATAGACAGATTTGGCATGTGGTTTGAATTGACCGTTAAAACTAACGGTCAAATATTTTTCTCGTTCGTGACTCAACATCCCTTGCCGAGATGACATCCACATCATTTATTAATTAAAATAAATAATATAAAATAAATTTAAATAAGAAAATCCTAGAAACCCTTCATTATCTACTTCCTCTTCTTACTCTCTGGCATGATTGCTCAATGTGCGTTTTAGTAACTCTAGGATTACTCTTACTATGTTATACGCTTTTGGAAGTGTTTCATCTGCTTTAAGCCCAAACTATCCTAGTGGACCATCTTGTACAAGTGGGGGACATCAAGGGTCAGCTATTGAGTGTCAGAATTCGAGATTGGATTGAGGTCCAGAAAATGACGTGGATTTAGTCGACCTGAGCCCAAATTGGCTGCCTAAACGCCATTTCTGGGAGCCATATCGAGCCCAAACTTGTAAGGAATATGCCTAGACGTGTTTTAGGCCGACTTTTCCTCCTAGAAAAACTTATACATAAGCTTATGAACAGAACCCCCCCCCCCCCCCCTTGAGGGTAGAAATTCGGGAGCCAGTGATAGGACGCATTGGATGGGACGTTACTCTACTAGCAAAGTGGCTCTTGTTTTAGAGCGAAGCCAAACTTGACAGGAAAATCAGCTCCAAAATTGGCGACTTAGCTGCCAATTCCATGTTCTGACCTCTGATTTCCTGGTCTTTTAATTTGGTGCTCTCATTTTGACTGATATCCGCCCAGAACCTGTCCCCATGAGCATCTAGGTAGGGGTGTACATAGGTTGGGTGGTTCGGGTTTGGATATTTTAATCACCCGACCGATACCTACGATTTTGAAAATATCAAATCCAAACCCACCCAAAAAATTTAGAATCCTATTGGGTTGGGTCGGGTTAGAGATAATTTTAATTATAAACCCAACACAAAAAAAAAACAACTATTCTACACCACAAAATATATATAACTAAATAAGTTTTTAAGCAAATAAATCAAAACGAAAAGTATTAAAATGTATAAATGGTATTTGTATTTTAATGGTAAATTTTTTTTTGCTTTATTTCCATAAGAGGAAAGCTTCAAATTTATGTTTTCTAAGTCCTAGTAGTAATCAATTATCTAGGTACCGATTTGTTCCAACAGCACCACCACTGAATTAAAACAGATATACTTGATTTACTTTACAAGAATTCATTTATAGATGTACCCTTCCACTTCCATTTGCTTCCCTCAACATTTCTTGGAAGAAGAAGAACCCAAAATGCGCCTGTTGATAATGGTGATTCTGCTTAGAGGGTTCTCGTAAATGAGTCTGTCACCACGTCCTGGTACTGGATATGTACAAGTGAGATGGGTTGGGTCGGATTCTATAGATTGTGTAACACAAAATACACCCCAACCCAATAGATCAGACAGGTTGTACAAAATAAAACTCTCACCCAACGTTAAATCTAAATTTTAGCGATAAATACAGGTGGGTTGGGTCGAATTGAACGGGTGGGTTGATTTGCAGGTTGTTTTGTTCACTCCTACATCTAGATCCTTGGTTGTGTAGGTTGGCAAACCATAGAGGTTCTTTGACTATGTAAACTTTTGATTTTGGTATAAATACGAACTTTGTTTCATCTTCTCCTTATGTTGGATTTCATTGTGGTTTATATTGTGAATTGATTGCATGCTTCTACGAAGCTATACATCCCTTTGTGATGTGTAATTCATAATATGATTACGAGTCATACGAGACCGAACACGACTATCCCTTACGTTCAATCATCAATCAATTGGATTATGTGATACTTCAAAGAAGACATTCGTAGGGTAATTATTGCCTACTAGATTGGGTAAACGTTATGATCATAATCTTTTTTTTTTTTTTTGTAAGGGTGAAATTCATTAATTAAATAAATCTTAAGAGAGTTTAAAAGGAAGGCAAAGACAAAAAACAAAAACAAAGGTACAGGAAAGGGGAATCAGCATCACGGGAACCATAGCCCAGCCACACACAAACTCATAAACAAGTATAAAAAGATAAAACAAGCACTCCAAAAAAAGGGCCCTTCTTCGTCTCAATGGCCAAGTCGTAGTGGCATAGGTCTATGGAGCAGAGCCCTCTTAAGATTATGAATCCATTCTTCTCCAACCTGCCTTTCAATTTTGCCCGCATCCAGGAGCCAAACTGCAATGAGGTTTCCAATCTTAAAAGCAACAGCAGCCTGGGATGAACACTTTCCTTCAAAAATCCGGTTATTTCGTTCCTTCCATATGCACCACAGCAGCGCATGTAATACTGTTCTAGTGCACCATTCTTTTGGACTCTGCGGATTCAGAGGCGCCCATCTCTTGATGACATCTCCAATCTCCCTGTAAGCAGCACTACCTTCGATATGGACAAAGCGACTAATGATTCTCCAAACAACCACTGTGAAACTGCAAGTGACAAATAAGTGAGTTGGGTCTTCTTCACGAGCACAGCACAATGGACACCTGTTGGGCAGATTCCACCCTCTCCGTTTTAACGCGTCCTGAGTAAGTATCTTCCCATGGAAAGTCAGCCAAACAAACAAGCAAACTTTGGAAGGGACATGACTCAACCAAACTGACTTATACGGGAAATCGCCTCCCTGATCCCCAGCTGCACGAATCCTGTCAACATCATGAGTAAGTTCTTGGTACAAGGAATGCACGGTAAAGACATGCGACGCAGTCGGTAACCAGGTGATCTTGTCATGACCTGCTGATAACAAAGGTAAATGATCATAATCTTAGGACCAAGTAAAATTGTGTCCGTACTACACACGATCAAATTTTGC